TAAAGGAGTAGATAAATATAGAAATTGACAGGATGAAGAAAATAGTCAAAAGTTGTCTTTGAAATTGTGAAAGGAATTTGTATGACATTGTATCAAAGTGTTGGATATTTTTTTTCCATTTTTTTTACGTTGACTCGACGTTTTTAATAAAAAATTAAATAATGTGATAATTTTTATTTATAATGTAAAAAGAAAAAAATTGAACGATTTGTAAAATTTTAGAGTAAGATCCCTTTTGTTTGAAAATGTTGATAATAGGGTTTAAAATATACATTTAAAAATACATTCAATTAGCAATTAAGTTAATAATATAATTGAAAATAAGAATCTCCAATCAAACTATCTTGCTATAGATAACGAATAAGATGAATAAGTTATAAGGTCTTGTTATAATAAATTATTAAACGATTATGTTACTTTTTTTCATTTTTATAAGACAGAATTTTTAATGAAAGTTATGAATAATAAGCGTCTATCCTTTATTCCTTTTCCTTTATCATCTTTTTAATGTTAACTATCTTTTTCAGCCTATAGTACAGCTTTTTAATTTGTACAAAATTAATCTCTAATATATTAAATTCTATAAATACTATTTTTTTATATTTTTTATTATCTCCCATGTATGTTTCATGACATGTATATTTCTTTGTTCTTTACACTAGGCATAAATAATTATATTTATTTTAAGAACTTGTATAAAGAATATATTTTGGAGTAAATTTTTTTAAATCTCTTTTTAATGTTCATTTTTAATAAATCTTTATTACTTTTTATCAATTATATATCACTTACCAATGGTTTAAATAATACGCTTTTATAGGCAAAAAAAGATGAGGAAGAAAAATTGGAAGGCTTTGTAGCAATTACTGGCGATAAACCCGAAGAAGAAAAAGATTCACTCTTGAAAAATGTTTTGTGGCAAATGGATAACGATCGTAAGACAGCTGCATTAAAGCAACTGCAAGGACATATGTGGCGTGAAGCATATAAAACAGGCACAGTTAAAGGACAGTAAGTGATTCTATCTTATTATTGTTTTGATTTGTTTTCTATCTTAGGTAATTTCCCAAACAACACAAAGTCTGAAATTGTGACATAAGAGGTCTTTAAGTCGTCTTTTAGACGTAAAAAACGTCTATGATCTAATTTTAGACACTTTTTGTTGTCTGGATTGATTAATCCTATATGCATCATAGTCTTTGCAAATCTCTGTATGCTCGTTCACATAGAACATTAGCGAGCCTACACTGTTAGAAATGTTTGTGAATTTATAATGCCCCTACAATAAAAATGCGCTGTAAATTTACAAACTATATATCGTTTTGTTGTGATTACACAATATTTGTAAATTCACAATAGAAATTTGTTGTGAATTTACATAACTGGCGTGCCACGCTTGTGTATTAGAGATTTGGATACTTTATCACAAAATGTTATTGTAATTTCACAATACAACTGTTTAAATTTACAGCACATTTTTGTTGAATAAAAACTTCCAATACTTTTGGAAGTTTACAACAGAAATTTCTGACAGTGTACATAAACAGTACTACATAGTTATAAAAATATATAGACATTCATAATATACACACACACACACACACACACACATACATAAAAAATTATTTAATATACTATACATAATTATCACAAATAATGAGGTGAATAGTAGTATTTGGGCTCACTTCAGTTATCTTACTGATAATGTTCTTTACACATAAGATTTCTTATTTATTATATATGCATAAATATAATATCTGTAATGCTTGTATTTTTAATTTTATATTTTAACTTGTGAATATTTTGCATTCTTGCAGAACATTTACAAATTAATGATGTTAATTTTATTTTGAAAACTACTTTTTTCTTAAACAGCTATTATTATAAAAAAAATGGTTTTGCAAAAAATCTTCAATTGTAATTCTCCAGAATAGTATTTGCAAATTACATTTCATTATAAAAACTATTGCAATTTGATAAAAAATGATTATAAAATTTCGTGAAGAAAATAAAAAAATTTAAATTAGTTTTAATATTAAGCTTCAACAGAATACCTCTTGTTTAGCATTTATGAAGATGTTCCTAAAGCGATTGAATCATGGACAAACAATGGCCAAAAAATATACGTCTATTCAAGTGGCAGTGTTGAAGCACAGAAGCTCCTTTTTGAATATTCTGTACATGGTGATTTGCTTAAGGTACTCCACAATAATACATTATACTATAATGTCCTGTCAAATATCTTGAAGTATTGGTATGAACTATAATATTTTCTTCTTTTTTTAGTATTTCAACGATTTCTTTGACACAGAAGTAGGTGCAAAGCAAGAAAGTGACAGCTATAAAAATATATTAAGTAAAATCGGTGAAAACCCTTCCGATGTTGTTTTTCTTACTGATGTTGTAAAAGGTTCGTACATTTCCTTTCTTTCTGAATGAGAGAATAAATGTGAGAAATATTAATTATTAAAAAGAGATTTTCTATATCATATTTGGATGATTGCAAATATCTTTTCTTTATTTCTTTCTTTAATCAATAACAGAAGCCGCAGCTGCCAAGGAAGCAGGTTTATCAACAGTAATTGTAGTACGTGAGGGTAATGCTCCACTAACTGATGAAGAAAATGTTACATATACAACTATTAAGTCCTTTTTGGATTTGACATTTCAAACGTCTACAAAGCGACAAAAAATAGAAACGACAGATGACAAAGTTGATGAAGGTACAGCTGACGTCAGTGAGCCAATGGACACTTCCGAAGATGTAGAAATGTCCAATGTCAGTGACAAAAAAGTTGAAAAAGACGATACAAAAGAAGTAACTGAATCAGTAGAAAAAGAATCTGCAAAGGATCAACCATCAGAAAGCACTTCAATTTCATTAGAGCAAGTGGAAGAATCAGCGATAGATGAAAAAGACGTTTCAAATACTGAACAGAAGACAACGGAATCTAATGTCAAATCCGAGGAAAGCACAAATGAGGACTCAGGTTCCTCTGAAAACGCAAAAAGTGACGTGAAAGATGATGTTACCACACTAGCCACAAAAGATAAAGACCACAATGATAAAGACATTGCAGAGAAGACTGAAGAAAATTTAGATACAACTGCAACTGAAATTACCGCTGCAGTCGATGATTCCATGGACGTGTCCATACCAGAGTCTGCATCAAAGTCTGAGACTACTGTCACGTCTTCCGAGAAAAAAATTGAAGATTCTACAGATGTTACAAAAGATACACAAGCTGAAGGTGTCGATAAAACTGAAACGATTGAAAGTGACGAAAAGGCAGATAACATTATATCACAATCACAAACTTGTGACAAAAATATAGCAAACAAATCTGAAGAATGCTTGACAGCGAAAAAAGACGAAGTAAAGGAAGAATCAAAGATTGTTTCAGATACATCTGAAAGCGAGAATATTTTAGCAAAGAGCGAACAGGAAATAACAAAAATGGAGACAGCAGTAGATGTCACAGAAAATGGGGAGACTACAGAAACAACTGCGGAAAAAACTACGGTATCGGAAGTGGTAACAGAAACGGAAGAAACAGTTACGGACGTAAGGAAAGAAGCAACCACATCAACTGAAGTATCTGCAGAGAAAAGTTCGGAAATAATTGCAGAATCTGAAAAAGCCGATGAAAAGGCCCAAGCAATGGAAACGGAAACTACTGATGCTGATAAATGCGAGAATGAAACTACGCAACAAGAGACAATAAAAGAAGAGGAGACAGTGAAAGAAGAGAATGTAGTGGATACGAAGGACAAAAATACGGTAGATTCGGAAAAGCAAAAACTCAATGGAACCACACAAAACGGAAATACGGATGTGCCAGTGTTGGATGATAAATTACATAGTAACGGACTGAATGAAGGGCCATCGAAGGAGACAACGAACGAAGACGCGGCGGCGCAAAACGGTGAGCCGGAGAGTTTGTCAGAAAGTAGTGCGGAATCCATAAAAGTTAAAAAAGTCGTCGATTCCGCTGTAGCCGACGGTGCCGGAGAACCCGACGTTGTTCCTCCTGTAGTTGTAGCGGCGACGTCTTAACTTTGTTCTTATACAGTTTAAGGAGCCCTTCATGCATAACCCCAATCCACAAGTACTTATTCGCAGGTATAAACTGATATTAATTGAATCCCATGTATACTTTATGTAAATCGTACTACGTCAAAAACGTAACGCGCTACTTTAAGATGCAATTCGTAAACCATTTGTTTTGGCGGCTCTATAATGAAAGAAAATAGTAAAAATAGTATAGTACGGAAAGACGCTTCAAATTTTTTTAATTGTTTAGATATCTACAGCTATACAGCTATTTTATTTGATGATGGCCAATTTCTATTTGTACGGTATCATTAATGTTTTATGTTAACTCGAATATATGCTGCTTTTCTATATTGCGAAAGTTGATTTTTTATCGTTAATTCTTTCATGTTTGACTTATGATTTTCAATTACTATAATAATTTTTACAAAAAAGACAATGAATTGTTATGATTAAAGTTACAAAACTTTTTTAGTTGTAATTCGCACGTGATCGATCTAGAAGTAATCAAACGTGTCATCCGCATCAATTACTACGTATTCTTGAGGGGCTTTTTTCTAATATTACTCTACGCAACATGTCTGACATCTTTTTTATACCGCCTAAACAAAATAACTACGCCTATACATGAAAACTGATAGGATAAGTAATTTCAAATAGAGTTGCAGTATATTAAAATATCGATTGTATCTGTGCCAAATGAATTTCACAGTTTGAAACTTTGGTTTCTTTATTTTATCACTTTAGTATTCTCTTCCCTTTGATAATTTTATAAATGATATTAAAAGATCTGGTCGATGTTTTATTTTACTGCTACAACAATGAAACTGACTAAGAATTATTTTAAGACTGTATTGGTATCGCCTTTTACAGTTGCTGTCTTGTAGATTATATCATAGATCTTCGTTGCGCACAGCATATTTAACTTTGTGAATTGATAAACAATGCATTTTAAGTCTGAATATTTGTAGATACATCGCACAATAAGCTTCATTCAATTACGTTAGTTTTGTTCGCGTTTTTTTTATGTAAGGTGATAAAAAAATTGTTTAATATTAGAACTTTTTGTATCGATACGCTTTCTTCCATCGTTTTGTCTACCTAACATGGTTCGCGTAATGTAATTTTCTTTTTAATGATTGTTGCAATACAGAACCGTTAACTATACAGCTAATGTCGCGAAACATTTGTCAAAGAGCCTAAAAAAGTGTATTTTAGCTCTTGTATTCTACAATTTTGCGATTTAATCCGTAAGCTGTTCAGTTTTAGAGAGGAATGGCTCTATATGGTTACTTGAATAAACTGATCCAGTAATGACAATTAAAAAAAGTCACGTAGCCGATTGGATCCATTCGCTTCTATGTTTAATTATATAATTTAGAAGCATTCGCGGAAAAGCATATCGATTCGTAGATTTACTCTGTCATTCCTATAAATTAATATTTTGTTACAGTCTACATGTGCAGAATGCATTTATATTATCGCTTTACAGTTGATCTATCAGCAAATTAATCGCCTAAATTACTTCGCAAAATACTTCAAAAGCTGCTATACATAAAAATCTCCAAGAGAAAATAATTTGAAATGCAAAATATATGCATTTTAATTTATAATATTCAATATATATATTATGCATTTTAATTTATAATATTCAATATATATATTATATACATATGTGTAGTAGTTTTTTGGTATGTACTTTCACGTGAAATCGCTATAGATAAATAAATGGTAAAGATACTTTGTATCAACTAGCTATTTAAATTATAGATGCAAAGCGATAATGTAGATATATTGTATGTAGACTATTGCTCATTTTTGTGATGCTCAACATGATTTTAAAACGTGTATGGAATCAATATTAGAAAATAATAATAGCAGTTAAAGTGAGATCGTGCTTTCGGCAGAAAATGGATTACTATTACTTTTAACTGTTAATTCGTTATGTCCATTCCTATTAAATTGACTGTGATTTATGAATATTGATAGACATAGGTTGCTCGAAACGATCTTATCAATACGCGAAAACGATCGTCTTGATCGATATTCCATTGCGATTATTTTTATTCAGATTTAGTGTGCCCGCGTCTAGTCGAAATCAGTCAGAAGTGGCGGAGACTTCTATAGATCGATAGACGATTTCGCATTGTTTGCTTTACATTACGTTCGCCGACTATGCTAGGGAGACGCGATGAGACGAAAAAAACGTGACCAGTCTCATACGTCTACGATAGTGCGCGTATAACAGGAGCGAACACAGAACCAGTACGAGAGTATGCACTTGATATTTTACGGTATATTTTACTCTTGATACACCTCGCATATTTTATTTATAAGTCGTCTTCTCGAAAGATGTTTCGGTACTTGCGACAGATTGTATTATTTTCGTTATATCACTCGAAGTAATTAAGACAAAAGCGAACTCCCATGCGTTCTATTATGTTCATTGAGGCACCAATAGTTTAAAATCAACGATCGAATGATTTTTCATATGTATGATGGCACAGATAAATGACTCAATCACTTATCTATACCATCGAATGTATACGCGTTCTAATAACGATTTTAAAATTGATATAACGAGAATGGCAGGTGTTATGTCCTACGATCGCATAAGTTTACTAAGAAATTAAATGGCGGAAAAAAAAGATATGCAGGATACAAGCTTTTCAAATTCTTCCTATTTATCGACTGATTTATTAATATTATCGCACATAAAAGCCAAAAAAACTGCCATGGTTTATAACAGAAGCTCGAAGGTGAGGTGACGATGTGCTCGAGGTTCTACTCGGCTGACTTTCACGACATCACCTGAATCATCACTTCCATATCATTCATACTACTGTTTTGCGTCAATAGTCGAAGAAGCCAAAGCGCACATCTTGATCGCACGTTCAGCATCACGCTCTCAATTATACATCAATTCTCAATTATACATCGTGTATGACGATCGTACCGATTATCGTTTTATTAACATACATACAAAATGACTTCAATATTTGCATATGTTGCTAATTGAAAAAAATTTACTTACAATCTTAGAATGTATACAAATCTCTACAATGTATACAAAACTTACAATAATTAGGCTTCTACAAAAATTTGTCAAAACCCGTACACTATTGAATAAATCCTAATGATAGTTGAACTGATGTATTGAGTTCTGAACATAATTAATAATATAAAGAGAAGAACAAATTGAATAAATTGAATAATATAGAGAGAGAGGGAGGTGTTGGGGCCCCAATTCTTTAATGGTACTTTAACTCAATTGATATAATCAAAAATTAATATTATATTCGAGCCTAATTTTTAGTTCATAAAATTCAAAACGGTAAAAAACGAGTGACAGAAGTTTAGATATAATTTTTTAATTAAATTTTTTAATTTATTTTTAACATCAACAAATATCTTAATTAAATCTCGACTTAGAATTTTGTTTAAGATGAATACACAATAATGTTATAATAATAACATGTACAAATTAATAACATGTATAAATTCGTTTATACATGTTATGCAATTGGCAATGTTATAAATAATTTTACAAAATCTCTGTTCCTGATTTTGTTTTTGTTTTTTTCTTTTTGGAAATAGAAAATTACTTCATAAAAAATGTCAATTTTGAATAAATTATCTAGAATTGTATATCTTTCTAAATACTCTTTATTATAAACGTGAATATTACTACATATTTATTATCATATTTTCCCTATTTTCTAAATTTTCGAAACAATTTTAAGATAAACGTCCAAATGCATTCAACATAGTTCTAACTCCTGTAAAAAACTATGAATGAGCAAAATCTGATGTAACACTGCCTCGTTGTTTATTATACGAAAATTACTCGATTAAAACTCATCAATCTCTGTATTACTATTCCGGTTATATTTTGTTCTAAGACGACACGTGCAACAAGATTCAGTAGTTTTGTGATTTAGCAATAGATTTATCAATTGTGACTTTGACGAAACATAGAAACAAGGATCCTGTAACATCGCGCCTTTAGCATTATAATTCACAGGAAACTGCCGTCTTTCCAAAACGTTAAAATTATACGAGCGAGACGATCGAACAAAAAATCTAATGTAGGACTAACTAAACAAGAGTAACTTTACCATATTCATTAGCGATATTATTGTTTGTAATTCATTGGCTATATTATCTGTAATACATCAATATAATTGTAAGAGAGACGTAAGGACTTCATCAATACTTTCTAACTTAAGGATAGATATCCCCACGGGGGAAAGAATGGAAGTCAAATATCAAAAAAATTTGTAAGTTAAAATTAAAAATTCTTTCTTCGTCAAATCCGTATCTTTTATTATTTAATATTAATTTATTATTAACTTTTTAAACTTTAATATGTGTACATGTATAAAAACTTAAACATATATGTATACATTAAAACAAGAATAATTTCTGCCATCTGTACAATTTGAATAACAAGTATGACATAGTATCTAAATACTTTTAATCATTGAATCTGAAACTGAGGAAATTTGTAGTTTATAGCGTTTTTACATCACTATCGTAACTAAAATTTCAAAGATATATTTTTTAAGATTTTTATTTAATATTTTATGTATCTTAAAACATTAACGTAATAATCATTTCTAAAAGCAAAGAGAATTTGAAATCTCTGTTCTTTATAACTTAGAATATTATTCTTGTATTTGAACTCAGCCCGTATTTGATTTCCACTTCTCAATTGTTCCTACGAACCCGTCGCATTTCCCAGTATCTTCTTTTTCATCTCATTTATGTTTTCGACAAATACTTTATGTTCTTCCCCCGAGGGAAAAATTACAGTTATGATTAATATTCTTTGTAATGTTCTCTCACAGATATCCATGTGTGTGTACGTTAGATTATAAAACATGAGTGTTATATAGTTCGATTTGATTTTTTAATTTATATTTGATCCTAAGACATCAATCGCACTATCGGTAGATTCCTATATGTTTACTAAATAATATGAGTCCCCCCTCCAAAAAATATACGTTGTACAAAACTAATCAGTAAATTCTATTCGTTCTGAATTTTGATTGCATTCGTAGAGCAAAATAAATGAGTTTTGCAACTAGAATTGTGACGTTCATTTTTATTTCAGTCTCCCATGTAACGTGTCATGTAACATGTATGTATGTACGTGTACGAATTTGAATCTAAAAGTTATGTGTGTTTAAAAAAATGCGAATTGTATACATATGCTAACTGAACTTGATTAATAATCATTCGATTTTTGAAAGACAAAATTGTTTTTTTTTTGTCACTTTCTGTGACTGAACCATTAATTTGTTATATTCGCATAAATTCGGATAAAAGTCTTAATCGAATTGCCAAACTCAGGATAACAAGTTTTTAGTCAAAGAGTGACTATACATATATATAAAGTACAGTTCACATAATAGTATGTATGCATTGTTCCCATACATACATATGATATATGTATTGTTCCTCAAATCTTTATCAAGACTTATAAATTATAGTAAGCTTATCTTAACATTCGCATCATGCATTTATATTATAACACAACGGTACTATATTAAACATTACTATATTAAGATTCCAACATTTTAGTTTGAATTTTGTTCGTGACAATAATAAATTACCAAATTTATGCGAGTTTCTTGCATTATGCAATCAGAATAATTTCGCTGATTAAGGAATTAATTGCGAGTTTTATGTAGAATTTATATACTTATTATAATTGTCAATAAGATATATAGGATGCCTCATCATCGATTCAATTTTTAACACTTATAACTCATACGTAAATTTGATGTTCATTTATTATTTTCCATGAAGAATATCATTTAGTATAAAGTTTTTATCTGTAAGATCTTTGCATTTTTAATTCTAAAATAACATATCCTCGTCGAAGTTTAATAGAAATTAAAAAAAAGAATAAAGTTTGATTTCCAGCATTTATATATGTATGTAAGATTTAATTTATTAAAAATGTTTTTAATCACTTATTTGAAAGCCATTAATCTTTCAACATTTTTACTAACAAAAAGATAAAATTACTCTGAATACAGAAAATTGTCATTGAACGTATTGGTACGATGAATTCATCCTAAATATCAGATTATATATCCATTCTAAATATCATTTAAGAATCACTTACAAAAACGGGAGTTGTATATGTTAAGTTTGGAGAAGAAAAGAAATTATAACAAATTAGAAACCACACATACTGCAAGTAGATTGACTTAAAAACAATGGTCGATTATACTTTTTCGATCTTTTAACTCGTCCATTCAACTATCGCCCCCATTAGTTCGTATAACGTTGGATTAATTCATTGAATGTATTATATCTTTATCACGATACGATATAGTAATAGTTATAGCAGCGTATTTTACAGACTATTATATGTTAACTTTTATGTTCATGTTCAATTCACCGTTTTAACAGCCGATAGAGCATATACAAATGGAATATTTGTAAAGCGATACAGATATACTTCCGTGAAGTTTTATTTATTCGGTGATTAATTTACCGCGTATAAGATGATATAAATATATATATTATACGTATATCTTTTAATCAATATGATTTT